TTCTCCCTTCTTCTCCCTGGCGCTCTCTGTTCTCAACAACGGCTCGAAGGCGGAAAAGGCAAGTATGGGCAAGGTAAGGAGGGGATGGGCGAGACTCGTTTTATATTTATGCAGGGAAAGGACGAAATGGTCAGGCAACGAAATCGAGGAAGTTTCCCTCGAGTCCGGGCACAGTAAATCCAGATCCGATTTCACCGCCCACGCGCCCACCTTTTCCTCATTGATCGCACGGGCGGTTATGTCCTGTCCGCTGACACCGCGTCGCTTCCAACCGCAGCAACGGCAGGCCCCGAGAGACCGCCTCAAAAGGCGCGCCTGCCATTGTCAGCCGATGGGAGGGGAATATTCCCCCAGCCGATTCCTTCTAGGCTAAGGAACTGGGCGCCGAGCCCATTACGGTCCAGGGGTTCGAAGGCCGGACCCTAGAGGGTTTCGACAAATACCAGGACAACAGAGCCAGGGACAACTATGGGCGAGCCCGTACATGGCCGAGGCCCGAGCAAGCGATCGCTCGGGATGCCCTAAGTCGTGTCCGAGACCAGCAGGAAGTTCTCCGAATGGGATCCCACCGTAGGGAGGCGCCGAGCCCCTAGGGCCAATCGAACGGCCCTAGGACCCAATAGAGAAGCCCTCTGGTACTTTTGGAGTGCGTGTCCGGACCACTAGCTGACCCCTATCGAATGGGGCACGAGCCTCCACTCGGACTTACCCGATAGCAGCTCACCGGAAGTGTCACCGCTCGCGCCCACCGAGGGTAGCCTGGCATATTCCACCCCTCCTTCCGAGCGAAAAGGATGCGCAATGGTCGCATAAAAATCCAGGGGAACTCCTGACCGCCCTCTCGCTCCGTGCGAAGGCTCAGGGGCTCTTCTTGCAAACCTTGCCGAGACCCAGCGACCTAGGCTCGCACTCGAGGGGGCTCGACAAACAACTCCCTCCTTCCGAGCGAAAAGGATGCGCGAGGGTCGCATAAAAAGCCAGGGAAACTCCTGACCGCCCTCTCGCTCCGTGCGGAGGCTCGGGGGCTCTTCCTGCAAACCTTGCCGAGACCCAGTGACCTAGGCTCGCACTCGAGGGGGCTCGGCAAACAACCCCCTCCTTCCGAGCAAAAAGGATGCGCGAGGGTCGCATAAAAAGCCAGGGGAACTCCTGACCGCCCTCTCGCTCTGTGCGGAAGCTCGGGGGCTCTTCCTGCACCCAAGATGAAGGCAAGCCACCCAAGCTCGCACTCATAGAATCGGAAAAAAGCGACAAAAAGGGCGCCGAGCCCATTACGGTCCAGGGGTTCGAAGGCTGGACCCCCGAGGGTTTCGACAGCCACCCCAGGATAACAGAGTCAGGGACAACTATGGGCAAGCCTGTACATGGCCGAGGCCCGAGCGAGCGATCGCTCGGGATGCCCTAAGTCATGTCCGAGACCGGCAGGGAGTTCTCCGAATGGGATCCCACCGTAGGGAGGCGCCGAGCTCTTGGGGCCAATCGAACGGCCCTAGGACCCAATAGAGAAGCCCTCTGGTATTTTTGGAGTGCGTCTCTAGACCACTAGCCGACCCCTATCGAATGGGGCACGGGCCTCCACTCGGACTTACCCGATAGCAGCTCACCGGAAGTGTCACCGCTCGCGCCCACCGAGGGTAGCCTGGCATATTGCACCCCTCCTTCCGAGCGAAAAGGATGCGCGAGGGTCGCATAAAAGCCGGGGGAACTCCCGACCGCCCTCTCGCTCCGTCAAGGAGGCTCGGGGCTCTTCCTCAGAACCTCACTGAGACCCAAATGACCTAGGCTCGCACTCTCGAGGGGCTCGGCAAACAAACCCCTCCTTCCGAGAGAAAAGGATGTGCGAGGGCCAGTCAAAGAAGACAAGGAAATCGCTGATCGCCTCTCGCTCCGTCAAGGAGGCTCGGGGTTCTTCCTCACTAGGCAAAGTCCCAAATGACCCAAACTCGCATTCATGGGCCTGTCAAACACGATAAAACTCCTTGCTCAAACGGAGAAAAAAGCCCCTAAAGGAGTAAACCCACTCCTCCAGGGCCTCGGGGGCTACACCCGGCGGGTGCGCTCGCGCGCACCCACTAGAACCGCCAAGTACAAAACACAATCCCAAACAGGAGCTGTTGCGAGCCAAGTCTCGACAAAACCTTAGGAGAGTGCCCTCACTCCTCCCGAGGCTCGGGGGCTACTGTTGGATACCGCAAGAAGGGGTACCCTAAGCAAGAACCAAAAATATTGCTTAAACCTTGCAAAAATCAAAGCCGAAGACTCACCGCAAGGTCTCAGTGATTCTCTCGATTCGCCCGAGGCCTTGCGCCGAGGCCCTCATGCGAAGGCCAAAGCTCCCGCCTGCCGAGGTCTCTCGCCGAGGCCCCGCCAAAGGCCTCGGACAGGATGCCAATTCTCCGATTCGCTCGAGGTTGGGCTCGGCAAACAACCTCGTTACCTCCGTCTCAACCGAACTCCTCTGACAAAACATCACGTCCGGATTAATGCGCCTAACTACTCCTCAGAACGCCACCAAGACGCTGGGTAGGTACAGTCTGCAGGCAGAGCGACCGACAGATAGGGGACCGGGCGCAGCAGGGGTTACTCCACGCCATCGTGCTCATCATCAGGCTCCCATCGACACCCGTGACATTGCTTTGTGCTATCTAACCCCGCGCCAAGGACAAAGCGGCGTGGAAGGTCAAGTCCAGTCCTCAGAGTCTCAAAGAATAGCAGCAGTGAGCCCAGCTTGCTTGTTCTCCGCTTTGTCCGAGACCCTCGATAGGGCCTCGGACGTCATCACTCCTTTTCTCCACCTCGGCCGAGGCCGGCTCGTCCCGCATCCTCGCTGCTCTCGCCTCAATCGCCCCTCATGGGCCATCCCATCCGTGTAAGTACCCTCGTTACACCTACGTCAGCCACGATTGGCATGGTATAGCGACAGGGGCGATGGGACGGCGGTCAAGTTTCCTTTTTTACCATTCCCTACTGACGGTGCAGGGACTACCGTGCCCTGCGGACCCCCGCTCCGCACTTTTTCACCCAAACCGAGTACAACGCGGACCACCGAGACCCCCGCGTCGTACACATGTCACCTCCGAGGCCTCGACAAAGCAGGCCTCGGCACGATCAGCTACAGCACCCGCTAGGCCTCGGCACTCCACCCGGTCAAGAGTCCACCAAAGCACGACATGTCTCCGGCCGTGGAGGTCATATTGACTAGACGTCGACAAGGACTCCCACGACCTCAACCATTTCGAACCTGGCCAGCACGGCGCGCCAGACAAGTACTGATCTCCATTCCCAACGCCATGCTGCTACAGGACTAAACTGCAGTAGGCTCCACGTGTAGCTCACTCATGTACTCTTGGCTCCTTCCTTGCGGTTATAAAAGGAAGCGGCCAGGGATAGCTCAGGAGGGGAGAAGAACATACGATAGAACCGCTAAACTTACCATATTCGCCCTAGACACATCCTCAGAACACCCACGCACTCCCTCGAAGCTGCTTGAGAGCAGCGTCTCAAGCACTCGCACCGTCCCCACGCCGAGACACAACTAGCTCCTCTCTCACCCAAATTTTGTAACCCCTACTACAAGCACTTCGGTGCAAGGAATACAAAACCGATCTCTCGATCGACGAGGGGCACAAATTGCCTGAACCAGTATAAACCTTGTGTCTCTTTGCATCACCATCCGGGATTAGGGGCACGCAGTTCACTTTTACTGGTTGGTTGAGGACCCCCGGTCCGAAACACCAACAGATAAATTTATACATTTTAATCAAAACATTATGACATAGCAATGGAGGAGGTTAACATAGATTGAGGTGGCTTTGGTCTCCCCAATAGTTGAGATTCATTTAGAGTAAAAACAAATGATTTTTAGGCTTAAATATAATCTTTTTGAGGTAAGTATTGTTGGTCTTTTCTAGATCTTACTTCAAGTTGTATCGAAAATCATAAGCGCTGTGGTGTAGGCTTAAATGTCTATTCATGCCATTTTGGTAATTCAAAGTCTAATCTACGATCTTAAATCCTTATTTTTAATGATGTTTCAAATGAGAGCTTTGAATAAAAGGTACAATAAGAACAAGAGTTTTAGCTTAACTTTAGAAGAAAAAATATAGAACTAATAAGATTGAAATTTGAATGACAAGACTTATAGTCATGACATGATAAGACATGTGCTACAATATGACCACCAAAACTCAAAATTTTCAATTAAATGCATATTGAAAATATATGGATAAAAATGAATATAGACAGCGAAGAAAAAAAATACCGAATAATTGATAAGTTTATCCCAACCAAATAAACATCAGAGTATCTACACATGTATTGTGTTAGAAAATGAAGACACACACAAGTAGTGATAATAACTTTTATTAATGTAGGTATTACAAGAGCTTCATTGATCCTAATCTATGCAGAAACATAGTTTGATTTACTAGTAACACTAGAAATAAAAAAGGTAAACCAAATCATGATAAAAAGGCATAATGTGTTTTTCAAAAATAAGTTAAGATGTCACTATCACTCAAAAAACTTAACTTAAAACTTTTTTCTAGAGAAAAACAAGAAAAATCTTACTAAGGGTTAGGCTAGAAATGGAACACCGAAACAAGAAATAGTTTAGATAGTTATCGAGACACCGGTCAAACTTGGAGTAATTTTGACTGTACTAAGATACATGAACTGAACACATTATCTATTACTCGTAAGATCTAAGCACTTACAACAATTTTCTTTTGAAAAAAAATGCAGTCAAAATGCTGAAAAATCATTTGCCATGGCCGTGCTTCCTGCGCGGCTACAGCAATAATGTGATGTCCTAACGTTTCTTGTACATGTTACAGAAGGCTACCCCTGCAGTCTACAGATGATGCCCGCAAAGTTGGGGCCTCCAAACAAATCAACAAACCACTATAGATAGTGTACATAATTTGCGTCGAGTCAAAAAGAATCACAAGTGCGAGCATGTCTTGCCAATCGATGTGGCAGTGAGTGAGTGGTTCATCCGGTCAGAACAGGAGCGGCTGCTCGAAAAACGACATGTCGTCTCGTGGCTCGTCCTTGGCGTAGTACATCGCCTCGTTCGTCTGCTGCTGGTGCTGGTGGTGGCTCGTGTAAGAGTACGCCGTGCCCACCGCCGCGTCGCCGAACCCGGACAAGGCGAAGCCGCTCTCCGCGGCCTGCATCGGCGTGCCGTGCCCGCCGCTGGCCCCGAAGCCGAACCCATCGGCGGTCCGGACGAGGCCGCCCTGCTGGTAGCTCCCGGCCTGCTGCGGCATCTGATGCGCCGCCAGCGCGGCGCGGTGGTAGAGCGAGGCGCTGCCGCGGGCCGGGGGCACGTCGTGGTTGTGCTTGCCCTCGTACGTGGTGACCACCGCGCGCGTGTCGTGGCACGCGCGCTCCACGTGCTTCCGCACCGGGCACCCGGCCGTCGTGCACTTGTAGTAGCTCCTGCTCGACACAAGACGTGCATGCATGTGGTGAGCTCACGCTAGCTTTCCGTCGTCGCGGCAGTAGCACGTGGTAAACAGCGTAGTTGTACGTACCTCGGGTTCGGGTTGCCCTTGACGACCTTCTGCCCGTACTTGCGCCACCGGTAGCCGTCGTCCAGGACGTCGATGTCGCTCATGGTTTGCACGACGACCCTCGGCTCCCGCACCGTCCGGGTGTTGCCGGCCACCGACACCCCTGCATCGCCGTCGCCACCATCTTTCCTCCTGGACGGAAGCGTAGCACGTTAACACCCATATATAGCCTTCTGCTCTAATCACACAACACGAAGACAACAGAACAGAAGAGAAACTTCGGTGACTCACCATCTCTTGGAGTCGGGTTCATCGTCGTCGAGATCGTCGGTGCCGAAGTTGCCGGCCAGCCGCGAGCTCACGCCGTTGATCTCATCGTCGCCGCCGAAGGACCCCGACGAGTTCTCGGGCGTCGCCACGGGCGTGCCGGACAGCGCGCCGAAGGAATGCTCGGGCACCGCGTCGCCGCCGATCTGCAGCACGTACGACGCCGCCGCCGGCGCCGAGCTGGCGCTCCGGCCGCGGGTGCTCTGCGGCTTCGGGTGGTTGTGCGTGCCCTTGTACACGATCTCCGTGACCTGCCCGTCCGGCGACCGCTCCACCTTCTTCTTGGTGGAGCAGCCCGGGAAGCTGCACTTGTAGTAGCTGCGCGGGTTCTCGCTCCCCTTCATCAGCTTCTGCCCGTACTTGCGCCAGTTGTACCCGTCGTCCGACGACGGGCGGTTGCTCTGGCTCTGCTCGCGGAAGCCGGATACCGCCGGCCCGGGAGCCGCGCTGTAGCCGCCGTTCCCGAGCATGTTGTTGTCAGGCTGCGCCGCCGCCGGCGCCTCGAATTGCGCAGTCGGTTCCTGGTAGGTCCATGGCTGCTGCTGCTGCATCTCGCCGCCGTTGTACGAGTCTCCTACTCGTCCCTATATATAACAGGGCAACGCTATTATTAGACATCAAATACTCTACTCTTGAGAATTGCTAGACATTGACTATTGTGGATTAGTGCTATAGTATATTTGTGATCAGTAAGGAGATCGAATGCGACAGTTGAACCATGCATGCATAAGATCAACATCTGTCGTCATGCGAGATGTCCAAGTTTCCAAATAAAGTTTAAAAAAAACATGTCAGCATCTTAAAACAGGACATACGTAGTACTACTCCAGTACTACAGGGGCTACAAGCTACCGGCAACTGCTGCTAGAGACGAATGCGTGGACTTTCTTGATTGGAGTTTGCTTGCTGCTTCTATATTCAGATATTCTACCGTGAAGTACTAGTTCATGTTAATCGCTTACCAATGGCGCCATCAGCAAGGATGACTGCGGAAGAAAGGACGCCGTGTGCGCGGCACCGGTCATCGTCGACGTCGCCGGTGCAGACGCCGCCGTCTGGAACGTGAAGTCGGTGTACTGCCGCTGCTCGGCCTTTACGCTGCCGCCTAGGTTCTCCGACGTCCCCATCCAGTTGAAGGGCTCTGACGGGATCGCGCCAGTCGTCGGCGACGGGAATAGCTGAAACAACAGGAAAAACCTTCGCGTTAGCCACGGACAGGTAGCAAACACATGCTCGACGGTCGACGCAACAACGGAACGTTCATGCATGCACGCACGCCGGCGGCAGCGGCGGCTCCGTACGTGCTAACTTACGCTGGGAGTGAGGAGGATCGGCGAGTCGAGGATGCCGGAGAACGCGTGGAGGTACGACGCCGGCGACGCCGGCGGGTGCGACAGCGGGAGGGAAGGCGGGGTCATGGCCTTGAACTTGGACAGCCCGACTCCCCCGTTGTCCGCTCCGCTAGAAGCTGAACCACCGCCTAGGAAGTTGGCGAAGGAGGTGGTCGGGAACGAGAGCGCAACCGGTCCAGAGTTAGCCGCCAGCGTTCCGCCGAAGCTCCCCGGCGTCGAGGTCATCGCAGGCGAGGAGGGTCGGAGGCTGCCGGAAAGGGAGACAAGACGAAGGGAGCGAAGCAGCCGGGCCGGGCGGGCGTATAGGAAGGATGGTGATCTCGAGACCGACCGGCTGCGGCCTAATATAGACGTTTGAGAGTTTGACCGTTGACCGGTCAGCGCCCCCCGGTCGTCTCTGACTGGCGGCTGCACGGCCGCACTTCCCCGCTGGAAGATCCTCACCCACCAATGGGGGATGGGAGCGCGTCCTGCCGCCTACGTGGCGGCCCTGCGGGCCCCGTTGCTGGCCGGTGCGGGTCGGCGCGCGCCAGCGGGAGTAGCGGTCGTGGATGTTTTCTTTGACCTGCTCAAGGTCCGGGGCAGCGATGGGGGTTAGGGACTTAATCGCACCGTGCTTATCGGATTAGTTTACGCGAGGGTGAATCAGAGCGTATCTATGCAGCGGGTGAGCGCAGCGAATGGGAGGACTGCCCTGCGTAGCAAACCGTCGTAGATAAAGTGAGCTCGGTGTTTTTTTAGAATTCGATTTGCAGCTGAAATTTCCACTGCTCTCATGCTCTGATTGGCAAAATGGGTCGTGATCGATCTTGGAATCGGTTGAACGGTTCTGCAGCTGTTTTTTTTTGCCCTGTTTATTCAGGTACTGGCGTACTGCAAAGAAAGAAACTTAGTGGCTCGCTTGACTTGGCTTAAATAACCTTATTAGCACTACGAGACTTCGTAAGTTTTGACAACAAGCATGCGATGCGTGCAGACAAAATTAGCTTCAAACGTACCAGATCTCGGCAAACAGATCTCAAAACAGGCTGGCGTCGTAGCTGAGGTCTGTGACAAAAAAAAAAAACAAAAAAACGATCGAGTCCATGGTCTCCATCACGACAGATCAGTTAAAGCCCCGAAGGACAGCAGCAGAAGGGCGTTAATAGCTGAAGTAGGGACGGGACACGGGACCCCGACACTTCGCAGCAGCGCTACGAAAAGAAACGTGACTGGCTGGCTGCCTGCCGTGCTCGAAGCGTTTCGTTCGACCAAAAACGGACGGACGGACCGCCCGTCGCCGCGCGCGAGGCACGTGCGAGACCGACCTGCGCGCCGTGGCAATGGCAAGTCGCACGCACGGGCACGGGACGCGGACGCGGCTTCGTTTACGTTTACTCGCGCGAGTGAGTCGAGTCGAGTCGGTTCAGACCCGAACGGCAGGCAGGCAGCCTGGCCGAAGATGGTCGGACGGTCAAGCCATGCAAGGAGTAGGCGTTCCGTTCGTGCCAACACAAAACTTTCTGAGAAATTGCCTCTCAAGTGGAGGCAGGCAACGCGTAATGGTAAGAGCTGTGCTCCATGCATGGCTCATGCCTGGGAGGAACAGGGAAATGGAAGAGGAGACGCTGTGGCTGTGCTTACTTGAACGGAGAACCGGTCGTCATGGATCCATTGTAGTATACTTATGATCTTCTGCTGGTCATGATGCACTCTGAAAACCATGTTCTACCACAAACATACCTTTCATTGACTTAGGGTACGGGGATATGAGTAATTTATAATAACTCAATTTTTTTCCCTCTCAAAGAAAAAAAAAATGCAGCACGTCAGATGACGGTATGGACTATTGGTGCTGAACGCTTCAAGCATACTCTGTTCATCCCAGATCAGAAAAATTGCCATTGAGCAAGAGATTCCTCAGGCAAGTCATGCTAGTAAAATTGAGAAAATTTTAAAGTTCTCGCAAGAAAACAAAACATTCGATCATCGATTAGTAGACTAATTCGTCATTAACAATGACAGCTATTGATCTAATCTGCTCTAAAGTAAACAACTTTGCCATTAAAAATGTAAAACCCACCAAAGATCATATACCAGATTCCAGGTGACGATTTTGCTATGAATCAAATACTTCCCTTCGGAACTAACATGAAAACAGATGACGATGAAACGGGTGGCGGTGTTGAACTCGTCAAGAAATATATCCTGGCAATCTCCTGTGCATATCCCCTAGACGAATACTTTGCTACTGAACCAGGAACTGAAACTGTCATGCTGAGAAGAAATAGGTATAACAGGACAGGAGAGAAGAGAGACCACTTGAGCACTACAATAAAGGGAGATGCCGTGATCACTGAAGAAGGCTTATTCCAGAATCTATAAAGTTTCACGATGAGAGTATGGTGGAATGAATGTGCATGTAAACAAAGGCCGAGACAACAAGCATTGCTGGAATTGCTGCGACAAATGGACAGACTATCAGCAGCAGCACACTCCTATTATCATGAGCACATCAACAGATGCTGAACAGCAAATGAGAGATCTATACAATAATTGCACCTCATATCAAAAGCAACCGTGCATGATGGAGCTGAAATGCACAACAGAACTGGACAGTCTATACATTTCTTAAGAATAAGAAAGCGTAACAGCACAGGAATTTTCTGCCGAGGGTGTATTTCCTTTACAAAAAATATACATATCTCATAGGAGCGGTAACTGTTTCACTGGATCACCCCCGTGCCATGATCTGGTCCACCTTCCCTCTGAAGAACAGATGGAGCTGGTGCCTTCATCACCCTATCACCCACTGTCGGTGAACCACCCTGAGGCGAGGAACCAGATGACCTGCGTGGGGCTGACGGGCTCTCCAGGATAAAGATCGATGGACTAGCATTGCCGCTCCTGTATGGCGAACTTGGACTTGACTTGAAAAGGGCCAAACCATCTTCACGCTGCAATGGGGACATCATTACGCGGGGGGTTTCGCCATTTACTTGCCCTATGTGTGACTTGTCCTCTGTGATATCGTAGTAATCTGCGGTCCTGACTTCCTGAGCAAGTGAGCATGAGCAGCAGAACAACCACTGGAAACAATCCGATGCATCTGGGTTGTGGCAGCAGAAGTTGTTTTCAGGCAGGTTGAATCTCTTCCTCATCTGAATTCTCCAGAAGCCACCATACAGTAAACCAAAAAAGCACAGGAAAAGTCCAGTGAGCACCAATGCCACTTGAAGGGATTCATTGTCAACATTCCCAGCTGCGAGGACAAAGATAAAAAATGGAGCGAGGCAAAAGAGCAGAAACGTTGCAATGTGGACATACATGTTACCAAATCCAAGCCTCTGCATATTCCAGCCAAAGACACAGCAACTGCAGAAAAGTGACAAGTACGCAATAGATATCTGGTCCCAGAAATCCATTAGTCCGCCAACCCACTGAGGCCTTCTCTCCACAAAACGGCGTTCATCACTCTGAATGAAAGAGTATCTCCTCTCAAATGACTTAATCCATGAAGTTGGCCTGCCGCTCTCAGTTGAGGTGACATCGATTTGTGCTTCTTGATCGATAGCTGCATGTTCTGTATCATAGTCCTTCCCAAGAGGGCTGATGATATTGTACAGACCAGCGAATGCTGCAGCCCCAATTGCAACAGAAATAGTGAGGCCAACACCGATAGGAGGCCGTTGAGATCTGCGGTACCCTAGGTTTAGACCACACAGGGAATACTGAGCAAAGCAGTTCAAATTAAGAAGGATTACAACCACCATCATGTGCATCCACTCATTAGGTTTATATGTTCCATTTTTGCAATATATCTTCCTAAGCCTTAAAATGTCCTTCTGCTCCCATCGACAAAGAAGCACAAAGTTGTAGATCCGTTGTGGGTGTTGATAAAGGCACATAAGCGTGAATAATGCATTCAGGATTTGGTTGTTCACTTCAAACCAGGTGTCTCTTTGTGATTTGCTAGGCAAAACACGATTCAGCATTCCAGTCATAACAAGAAAGAGAATTGCACCAGATACAGCAACAACAGCAATCCAAACAAAAAGGGCCATGTTCATAGGCTCTTTTATCCAATTCTTGGCCATCAGCCACAGGTGTTCCCAATTAATCCTCCTGATAAACTGGAAATGCTCATGGCTAACATGGTTGTCCGAATGGATCGAACGTGAGAACTCGTCCCGTTGAAGTGCGATCTGTTGAAACTTGAACGAAGGGGAGGAACCAAACTTCTTTAACTGGCAGCCAGTACAAAGGCGATTCCAGAAATTCCTAAACCCACTCCACCACTTTCCAGGTTGTGAAACACCTTGAGTAGCAAGAGTGTTGACGCCTGTTGCGCTTGGAACATTGTCCGAAGCTGTTGACTCTACTGGTTGAATGTCAGCTTTGAGATTTCCGTTACCATTGGAGGCCATTTTGTTCAGCTGGAGATGTGGAGTTGTGGAGTGTCCGATTACAAATACAATTCGACCCCTTTCCACAGGGTAAGGCACCCTATTTAACACTCAGACTGGAAGTGCCATTTTCCACAGGAATGATTGCTCTCTTGTATATACGCAGAATGCACATACATACTACTGGCTAACCATTTCTGCAAAAAACAAGAACCAGTCCAAAAGAAAGGAAATGACAGTTACAAAAAGCCATTTAGAACGAACTCATAACTTACACAGAAATAGTGAAATGACAAGGCTAAGGAAGAAGGAAAGAAATTGAAGTTTCAGAGGGGGTGGGGTGGGGAGGAACCAGGTATGCTTGTGCCATATCACAAATGAAACCTTGTTGATAGAACTAATGAAACAATGCAAAAAATTAAGACAAACTTTAATAATTATAAAAGCATATCTCCAAAGTATTATGTAAAACAATTCTGGTTCCAGAGTTGTGCAATCCATGTTTGTTGATTACTAACTTGTTATCCTGGAAAAAGTAGTCACATTAATTAATTTCACAAAATGCCCGGTTATTTCTACCCAGTTCAGATATTTTCAGCGATCCCAGCAATTATACTTTTGATACCTTGGTTCCATGCTTAACTAAACATTATCAGGCCACTCAAACAGAGTTATATCGATCAACCACAGGTGTGCTGTGTACAGAACTGAAAATGCGTACAGATATTTACCTCTAGAGAAAGAAATAGAGGATGGCCTAGGACCAACTACATCTTAATCGTTACATGCTTGATGATCTACCATTTATGACGTCAGTATCGAACTCAGTTGACTTGAATC